CACACACACACACACACACACACACACACACACACACACACACACACATACTCTATACCTAAACACACACACCCTAGGCCACCCATGCACCTTCCAGACATATCCACATCAGCTTACTAATGGTGGCTCTAAAAGAATGTTTAATTATTCCAGGAAGTCCCTTTGGCTGCAGAAGAGAAAGTCCCTAGAGATAAACCAGCTCCTAGGAAAGCCACAGCTCACCGATCAGATCTGCATATGCAGATTTCTTGGCTTTTGTTTCATATTCTCTATGAATTTTAACACCGCAGCAGGCAAGGCCAAATCTGTAAGTGAATCTCTTTCCTCTGGTTGGTTCCTGACTCCTGGTTTTGATTGTTTAGTAAACCGTGAGCTGGACCCGAGACACCGGGCACCACATTGCCTGTAGGTCCCTCTCTCTGCCGGTGAGTTCTCTGACAAGGGAGGTGGCTGGCATGGGGAGGCAAGCTGGAGACAGAGGCCACTGAGAGGGCATGGAGGGATAACCAAGTGCCCTGGACTGGACTGCACGGGGCCTGCTGTGAGCCCTGGACTGAACCACCGCCAGGCCGGGGTGCCACACTTCTGACCAGCATGCCTCCAGGGCACTGGCTTCTGAACCTGCAGTCACCTCAGCCAGCCAGACCAGCTGGCCCAGATCTGATCAGGCCTGAACCACCACGGCCCTCTGGCTCAGCAGGAAATTCAGGTTTCTAGCTAGCGTAGAGCCAGGCACACAGCCAGGAGAGCCATGGGTATAAGAGCTGGGCATCCATGCACACAGCCGCACCTTTGGGGTGCACTGCCTGTCTGCATCCTTCCTCCTGCCCACTCCCCATCTCCTTCGTCAGCAACCCAGCCCTTGTCTCCACCTCCACCTCCCCTAATGCCAGGGCCCTTCCCTGGCGCTCTGACAAGACAGGGGAAGGCACCCAGGAAGCTCGGTGTTAGAGCAGAGGCCTTTCTGTAGCATGACAAGCAGTCAGCACCAGGGGAGTAACTCCTTTCCCAAACGAGATGAGTTCCAGGGCAGGTGGGGTCACCGGCTGCCTCGAGGGATGCCGGGGCTCCATAGTGACAAATGCTCATGGGGCTCCTACCTTACCCCCCATGCATTCTATCCAGAACCCCCAAGACAATGGCTAGACATCGGGAAGGCAGAGAGCTGGGTGGAGGCGACAGAGCTGTGGCCCCAGCCTGAGAAGCAGAAGTGGCTTCTGCCCACACCCCTGACTCCCCAGACCACCTCCCCATCGCCTCTTCCTCCTCCTCCTCCTCTCGCCAGGAGTAAGGAAGTTGGCACATGTTGAGGCCTGAAGGGAGTGGTAAGACGGATGCCAAAGAGGGCCAGGCGCCCCATGCAGAATGAGTGACAGGACCCCAGGCCAGCTCTGGCTCCCCACCATGGGGCCGACAAGAAGGATGAGGGCAGCTTGTTGCTGCCTCCATGGGTCTGACCATCCAGCACCCCAACCTCCAGAAACCAGACTCAGCAAGAATTATTCACCCCACTTAAAAATGAGCAACCGTGGCCCACAGAAGAGGACACTTTGCTCAAGGCCACACTTCACTTTCCAGAAGGCACCTCAAGCTGGAGCCAAGCCTGGCTGGCTCAAAAAGCAGGCTCGTCATAATATTTGGGAGAAAAGAAGCCACTGAGGAAGGGAGGCTGGTGACAGGAGGGCTGTACTCTGAGGCCAGGAAGCGTGATGGCTGAGGGCCTGAAGGCCTGGGAAGCGATGAAGCTAAGGGGCTAGGGAGCTGGGCTAGGAAGAGGGGAGCCTGGGAGACAGGAAGGTTGGAAGGAACTTGGGGACAGGAAGTCTGACTGCCTGAGGCCTGGGAGGCTGGGAAGCTGCAGGCTTGGGGGCTTGGAGGCTGTCTAAGGAGAATCTCTTAGAACAGACAGGTCACCATTAATGACCAACTGACTGAGAGGTTTCTGGAAGTGGGATCAGGATGACCTGTAGGGAAAGTGGCCCCTTGCTCTGCTTACCAAGAGTCCGTCAGACCCTAGGACCCAGGAAATGGGACCGCTCAGAAGCAGAGCTGCCTAAAGCCAGAGGCCAAGCAGCTGGGCATTAACAGTCAGGAGCTGGACGACCCACCCTGACCCAGGCTGCTCCGCTTTCCGTCCACTGTAGACCTTGCCCTTCCTCCACAGTGGAGCCCTTCAGGTCTCCATCACATCATGGGAATACACTCTGGCCCGTGGACTCAGGCCCGGCTGCTGTCCTGGGCCCTGCTCCGATGTGCCCATCTATGCCAACTGCATACGCTGTGACCTAGCCAAGGTAGGCCGTTCACCTTTCCTCCTCTGCTAGAGCTAGAAAGGCAGCTGGACAGGTGCCAAGGAAGGAGGAGGAAGGCGGAAGTACGAGTCTTGAACCCAGGGGAAAGGGCTCTGAGAGGGCAATGACTCCATCAGGTCACACGGCAGTGGACGCCCAGCCACCAGCCCGCCCAGCCACCAGCCCGCCCAGCCATAGCCTTGGGCCTCAGGAAGCCCATTCCAGGCTGTGGCCCAGAGTCTTTGGAAGAGGGTCAGGGCAAGGACAGTGTGCATTGGGGGTGGTGGCAGGAGGAGGCTCAGGTGTCCACCCTTTCTCCTGGGAACCAGGATCTCACAAAGGCCCTTTAGAGCCGGCTCCTACCCCACCCATGCCTTGCTGAGGAAGACGGTAGTGGACACGGGAGGGTGGAACCAAGTTTCTGTTACTAGGTCGGAGAAGGAAGCCAGGGTCAGATGCTCCCCAAAGCCCCAAGACCTGAGGCCAAAGAACCCGGGGCCTTCTACCTGGTGTGTGTGTGGGGGGGGAGGGGTGCAGAGGCAGGACTCCTGGTTATGGGGTCCCTTCTCCTCTCAGCCTCAGTTTCCTTCCCTGACAAAGAACTCCAGTTCACAGCAATGCCCGAGGTTGGCTGTGGGGAAGGACGCGAATATGGAATTTCATTTTTCTCCAAATGTCCAAGGTCCAGAGACGGGACGGTACTAATCTGACTGCTCCTTGCTGCTGAAGGCGAGGCCTGCATGGTGCCCCTGGCCCTCAGAACTAACATGCCAGGCACAGAGGGTGCCTCCCTCATGGGCCCCAGGTACCACCTGCTCTGCCATTGCCAGAGGAAGCCCGACAGTCTCTGTGTGATTGCACCTTCCGCACCAGCCTCACCCTGCAGCCAGAGGCACCTTCTCTGAGAACAGGGCACGGAGGAGGCTCTAACGACCTGTCCAAGGGATCTGGGAGAGCCTGGTTTCCCACGCCCAGGTCCCTTGTCAGTGACTGCCACCAGCAGAGGGGTGAAGCCTGGAATGGGCCTGGGCCAGTGTCCTCCAGCAGCACCCCCCCCTTCACTGAGGCCCCAGGACCCCCACTCCACAGAGCTCCTCTGTCCATCTCACACACAGGACTCGGAACCAAAAGTCACAACACAGGGCCAACTATTTCTACTGAGCATGCAGAGCTCGGGAGCCAGGCCAGGCTGGGAGTTGGCAAGGCCACCAACACTCAGGGTACAGGCATGGGTCATCGGCTGTCCATCCTCACAGCTGGATGGGAGTTCCTGCTTCGACTTGCACAGGAAGGGACTTTTAAAACCAGCGAAGGAAACTCGCCCTTCAATCTTACTGCGCACAGGGCCCATTCACAGCATCCCATATGCACCCCACGTGACCTCGGCAGGAGGGCTGAGGTCCCTGCGTACACCATGCCTTAGAGGGCCTGGCTAGGCTGGTGGCTGCCTGTGGGATCGGAGCCCGTTCTCCCCAGGGAGGAGGCCCGGACACTCACCTTAGGCCGCTTCCACCTGACTGTGGGCCCTGGGGTACCCTTATAGTAAAGTGAGTCGTCAGTGGCAGGAAAGTGGGGGTCCTCAAAGAGCACCTTCCTGCGCAGACAGGCCCGCTTCAGCGCTGAGTAGTTCTGGTCCTCATAGGCCTTAACGCAGGAGAACATGGTGACCACGTCCCCAAGAGGGGGAGGCACCTAGAAGAGAGGACGGTAAGAAGACTGTCAATCATGGGCACCCGAAGTCCCTGCTGAGCTCCGACCACTGGGCATACTTCCCTCCCAGAAACACTCCAGTAACACAGGCAAGGAAAGGTGTGGTACAGAGAGGGCCAGAGATCTGCCCCAGGTCACACAGCGAGTACCTGCTACAGGACAAAGAGGCAACAGGAGCAAACCCCCTGCCTCAGCTGCAGAGAGTCTCTCCTCTCTGGTGTCTGAAAGGTGATACCAGGCCCTCAGGGCACCAGTGTGTCCAGGGCTGCCCCAGGCCACACCCACCTCACACTCCCTGTCTGGTTCAGCCAGCCCTCCCTACCTCTTTGGACTGAATCATACAAGTGACCACCCCCAGCAGCTTGTGGCCAGTGTCACACCCGCAGGTCTCAGCTGTGGGCATCTCAGAGGGCTCTTCCTGACTCATTCCTGCCCAGGCTGCTCCCAGCTGTCACTCTGTCTCCACCCCGGCTCTCTGCCTCCTATGTGCACCTGACACTTAGGGAGGAAGCAGGTCCCTGGCCCCTGGGGCTCTGTTCACTCCTCAGGGGGCCAGGCGATCACCCCATACTCTGTATTTTGTACAACTGACCAATTCAAGGGACACACACTGCACCAATACGGTCAGGGGAGGCCACAGAGAACAAGGGGTACGGGGGAGATGCAGCCAGTGGGGTGTGGTCCCCCATGGTTGACAGACGGTCTCTCACACTCTATCTTCAACCTCCCCAAATCTACTCATCCTGGGCTGTACTGGGAACAACACTGTGGTCTTACTGAGGTCCAGGCTGGCCATGAGGGAAACTGAGGCAGAATTCTTAGAATGGTTTCCGGGCAAAGTTTGATAACAGGTCTGATGTAGGCACTGATCCTGGCCGACCTACTCATCTGCTGGGTGGCCATGGAAAAGTCACTCGGCCTCTCTGAGCCCCTCCAAGATGGGAACAAGGCTGCTCCAATAAGAGATTGATGCCATTCTCATCAGCCGGGGGCAGAGGACGAGGGCGGAGAGCAAAGGGGTCAAGTCTCCTCTCATTCCAAAGAGACTCCAGTTCTCTGGAGCTCGCCCGCCGTGTGCAAGCCACTGAGGACGAGGTCTGTTGTCCCCTTTGCGAGCAGCGCCAGGTGGGCACACTGCTGCCATTTTCAGAGTGAGGACTGAGGCCCTGTGTGGTGTGCCCACGGAGGAGGTGGGCTGGAACCCAGGTCCTCAGGTCAAGGTGGCCCACCTTGGCCTTGGGAGAAAGTGCTAGGCAATGGCAGGCAAGCTCCCCCACACACCCCTCAACTGAGCTTCGGCCCAAAGGACGGGAAGACGAGGGGTCTCCAGGGAAGGGCAGAAACAGGAAGGAAAAGGCGATGGGCCGGCAAAGCTTTCTTCTGCATCTGCAGGTCTCTGCATCCATTCAGGGTTGTTCTGGGGCCTCAAGCCAACCATTTAACTTCCCTGGCCTCTCCTCCACCCAGGAAGGTCAATCTCCTCGGGGCCCTAGGCCTCCCTCAGCCTTGGAGCCCTGGGAAAAAGAGAAAGGAGAGACTGGAAAACCTCAGGGCCCTTAGGCACCAAACAGGCTCATTAGCCCTGCGGGCGTTAGCAGCCAGTGCTCGGGAAGTAACTTAAGCCCCAGGAATTAGATCAGGGAGCCGAGAAATCAGCTATCGTGATTCCAGGATTTCAGAGCCCAGAGGGCCCAGAGAGGCAGAGCAAGCAGGCTGAGATCATACAGCCAGGATGGCAAATGAGGCTTCTGGCTGCTCTCCAGGCCACAGAGGGTTCGACACCACAGGCAGGATCTGCTCTCCCAGGAAGAAGAGACTGCGCAACCAGGAGAAACTGGGTGAGGAGGGTGGGCAGGGAAGGAGGGCATGAAGAGATGGGAGTGGGCCACCAGCAGAGGCTCTGCCATGCCTCACTCATTCCCCCTCGTCCCTGACGGGCAGGCCCGGCCTACTTCTGGAGTTCTTCTGGGACCTGGCCTTTACATACTCAGCCCCCACGCACCAACCAAGAGGTTGTTACCACACAGTACCACATGCGGTCAGAGCCTCAAGGGGCCACAGACTGCAGCCTCTCCCGTCTCTAGGCACCATCTCAGAAAGCAAAGTATAAACAGGAAGGCAGGAAACCCAGACGGACACACCAGCCTCTTCCCCGGCCCGTGCTCCAGGCGTGGCCGTTTTTGCCCGGGTTTCAGCTGGACAAGACCCTGTGTGATGTTAAGGACAGGCTGGGCTTCCCAGCTGTCTGATGTCCGCTTCCTCCCTTTCTCGGCCAATCTCACCCTTGCATCCTTTACCCTGGAGACCTACATCCCAGTGTCAAGCGTTTCTTGCAGGTCCTTCAAGCTGTGAGCTTGGGGCCTTTGCATAATGCCTCTCCTTCACAATCCAGCCCTTGCCTTGGCCATCTGGAGCCCCCAGGAGCCCAGCACTGGCTACATTATGCCCATTTGGACACTCCTTGTCCATTTTCCCAGCCCACCCTCTGAGGACAGGTACATCAAGTACCACTGCATCCCCACTGCCAACAGGGAGGCGCTGGGATTCAGCAACCACAGAACCCCATTGCAACAAGAGCTGAGTGTGGCAGTGAATCCCAGATTACAAAGAGCAAGCTCAAGAGAGTCAGAGCTAGGGCTGGAGAGGTAGCTCAGTGGTTAAGATCACTGACTGCTCTTGCAGAGGATAAAGGTTCAGTTTCCAGCATCCACACGGCGGCTCACAACTGTAACGGGGATTCAAAGCCTTCTTGTTACCTCCACAGGCACCAGGCATGCCATGCCCATGGTACCCAAACATACATGCAGTCAGCATTCGGGCCAGCGGGAGCCACCCTCCTCTGCCTGCTGGGCGAAGCATCCGCTTGCCTCCTGGCCTTCCTGATGGCTGTGGGCCAGCGGGGGCCCACACCCCATTGTCCAGGCTGAGCTGGCCATGGCCCTGCCTGCCCTTCAGCTACTGTGACTAACTCCAGGCTACAGGGCCCCAGGGCAGGACTAGGCTGGAGGCCTTCACAGGCCACACAGCCTACAGGGTCTTTGTCAGAAGTGGGAGCTTCTGGAAGAAGAAATAATGGAACTAGGGCAATCAGAGAACAGGTTGAGTCTGAGTCTAACAGTAGGAGCCACGCAAAGGCCAAGAACAGCCTTGGCCATCAACAGAGGCCCAGCCAGAGGAGCCACACCCTAGGCAAGCAGCCTGTCCTAAAGTTCTGGTCACCGAGGCACTGCCAGGGTAGACAAACAGATCAGTGGGATGGAACAGAACAGAACAGTCTACTCGGTCCACAGGTATAAGGACACCTGATTTATGGTTGGTGCACTGAGCAAAGAACCGCAGTTTCAATGAATGGATTCACTTGCTCTCCACAGGGAAGAAGACCCGACCTGACCTCACACTACACACTGAACCAATCCCAAGAAAATGGCAGTGGAACTCCAGCCATGGGGCTGTCTGCAACCAGCATAACATGTAGCTAGAGAATTGGCTCTGTGGTTAAGAACAGTTGGTGCTCTTGCAGAGGACCCAGGTTCGGTTCCTGACACCCACAAGGTGGCTCACAACCACCTGTAACGCCAGTTCCAGGGCATCTAATTCATTCCTCCAGCCTCCACAGGCACCAGACGTGTGTGTGTGTGTGTGTGTGTGTGTGTGTGTGTGTGTGTGTGTGGTGCACAGACACACATGCAGACAAAACACCCGTACACATAAAATAAAATAACACTAAAATTAAAATCAACAACAAAACAAACAAACAAAAACAGTACAATAGAAAAGGAAGAGCAACTCCAAACATCCGGTAAGCAGAAGGGAACGTGCTGGACTCCACCAATCGGCAAGGAGATGCAAATTAAAATATCGAGACAGCAGCCCATCCCACCAGCAGGGCTAGCGCGAGAAGCACCAGGACACGCGAGCTCACACATGTCCCAAGCACAGGCTGGGTGTGAAGCTCGGTAGCACAGTCATGGGCTAGCACACGTGAAGCCCTGGGTTCCACTCTGAAAAACAAAACAATCAAGATGGCAAGTGGCGCTCTGATACCTGGCAAGGGGGGACATCTGCACAGTGACTCTGTAAAGCGCTAGAGTTCCTGCTGAGAATGAGCAACACAAGCGCCATCGTCTAGTTAGTCCGCTCTGAGATGTATCGACTGTATCCCACAGATTCAGTGAAACACAAGAATGTGTTTCTTAGCACAGATTTGTTTTTAAAGCTTTTTTTTTAAAGGCCTTGAACTCTTGATCCTCCTCCTCCTCCTGCCCAAGTGCGGGGATCCCAGACATGTCAAGCCCCAGTAGAAACTGATATGTTGAAAATTAGAAAATGCTCAAAGACCATCAGTAAAGGACTGTGTGAGGGGGTTTTGTTGTTGTCTGTTCAAATAATAGAAAACAGACTCATGGTTGTACACATCCGACAGATGGAGTTCACAGGCATGACATTAAACAGAGACATTACTACATGATTTCATTAAATCAAATTGCAAAGCAGAGCCGGATCACTCTGATACCAAAGCCATAAAGGAAAGTTACAGGGAAGCTGGAGAGGAGGCTCAGAGGTTAAGGGCACCTTCTGCTCTCTCAGAGGACCCGAGTTCTGTTTCCAGCACCCATGTGGGGGTTCAAACCACCTACAATTTCAGTTTCAGAAGATCTAATGCCCCCTTCTGGCCCCTTCATGCATTGCACTCTGGTGCACATACCCACACACATACACATACATAAAAAGAAAAGAAGTTACAGGCCAGAGGTTCCTAAGGAACACAGACACAGAAAACCTGGAGTTCCACCAGGTGG